TCTAGCAGAAGGGGGTGGGACCCGAGCAAGTGCCAAGGCATGGTCCACTGGAGGAGCCTCACTGTTCCTCAGGCCATGTGGGGGAGGGGGCTTATGGAGCTAAGACTGAATGTATTTCAGCATAGAGGACCACCACAAAATTGTACATTGGCTCCCGGCTGGCCTGGGCCAGGGCCAAGGCAGAGGGGGCCATTTCCTCACTGTTTCCAGGATGGCTTCGCAGGCCACATGAAACCACTTCACGGGCCGCATCCGGCCCCCGGGCCTTGTGTTTGACATGTCTGACCTAGAAATACTGTTGGATAGAATCTGCAACTTTTTCTTCCTATTCCCTTCTATTTCTTACATACATTAAACATGGACCTACTAGACAGATCATCTTGTTTTATGCAACTTGTATCATTCTCAGAAAATATTCAGACCTGAAGTATCTTAAAATTTCTTAAGTGAAACAATCTCTATGAAGCTAAATATAGTTGAGCCAAAAGACAGATAACAAGAGAGATAAATGACTTTTAATGGAATTCAAAGTTAGACAATACTTTATTAAGACTAATTTATCGTAAAATATATAGTGTTTAGGAGATTATAGTACTTGAATTAAACTTTTGACTCAGCATCCAGAACTTCAGACAACTGATATAAGAACTGATAAAGAAGAAAACAAATGGATGTGATTATAATCTATAAATTAGGAATTATCACAGGAAGGAATTCCAGACATAAAAATAGGAAAGAAACAATGGCTGGAAAAAGAAAAACAGAGTAAGGAGAACAAGGAAGGAAGGGATATAAAACAGAGAAGTAGCTGAACAAAACATAAAGTAAATGAAATTTCTGAATAATCAGAATTAGTCCTTCATATTTGCAATTTCCAATTAACATTTGTGGTATTGTGCAGTAGAGTTAGGCTCAAACAGAGATATCCCCATAAGTTCAATTTTTGAAACAAAGAGTATACAGGTAAAGATGATATACATATATCCCTACTCTTACATTTTAATCTAGCAATCTGTTTTCTTTTATGGCTTTTTCCTCAAATTCCAGCAACATGCATAGTTGAAAGAAAAATGCTGGATTTGGGAGTTGATTATCCTTTGTCACACGCTGCTTTTGGTCTATGACCAACACAATTTTCACTTTCAAAATAATTGGAACACTTTTAAATCCATGTCTGCCCAATCACAATGAGTTTTGCTATAAAGGAAACATATTAAGATTCCAACAGGCAGGGCTTTTTTTGTCATAGAACGCCCAGAAGGGAGTTCCAGTACCTTTTTTGGATGGAAGCTTGTAGGGTAGGCAAGGCGGGTTGTATGACGTGTGTGAGTTCCGGCACTTTTTTTTTTTAACAAAAAAAGCACTGCTAAGAGGTAATGGCTAGCAAGATGGGGGGGGAGGGGGATGCTAGTTTCCGTTTAACTAAGAAATTGTGCTTCCTAAAGACCTAACTGATGGATTCCACTGTTATTGAATGGATTCAAAAAGGCAACGCCAATGTGGTTCTCATGTATTTTGTTTTCCTGTCTTTGTAAACTTTACAAAACATGTTCTTGTGCTTCTGAATCTTCCATTTTTATGCTATTACTGGAACGATAGAAAATGTATAGCAATCATTTGTGGCACATTTTTTCTAGGGCTGTGTCACTTCAGTTGCAGATAAAAGATTATTATTATAGAATTTTATCTGCCGTAAAATAGGTCTACCTAAAAAGTTCTCTCTTGAACAGAATAGAAAGCTTTGTTAAGTATTCTTATTGCTGACACATAATTTAAGATGCTCTAACAAGAGGCTTTAAACATCCAATCACCCACTTGCATTCTGAAATAGTAAAGTGACTACATGACCAGAAATACGGTTTTACAAAGTTTTGCTGAAAACTGGCACTTATAATTTTTGGCAAAACTTGTGCCATAGTGAACATTGTCTTTGCTTAATTACAGTGGTGTTCGCTTAACAACTATGGCAAAAATCATGATAAAATCAAATTAGTTATGTAAGCAACTCTTTTTACAACTGTTAAGACTTTCGATCATATTGGGCAGGCTCCATTACAGTTGTAACTCGAGGACTATCTGTATGTATCCCTGTCAATGTGGTCCTGAAATTATCTGGACTTCAACCCCAGTTTTATCTTGGATCACTCTGTGATCTACATATGTTTCTACAGTATTTTTAAGCCATTTATTTAGCCCTATGTTCCTAATCTCAAAAAGGCAATTCAAGCAACACATTGATCCTATGTTGGAAAAACTATTTTTTTCCACTTCTATTTTTTTTCAATTAATGTTGTAGATTAAATTTGTTTCCTATTTAAGCAGAGTTCATTTCTTCAATTTGCTAGCTTTAAACCATTTTTTTTTTGCAAATTGTTGTTGTATTCTGTATCAAGAATTTCTTTAGAAAAGAAAACCAAAAAAAAAAAATCAACTGCTATAATTATGTAGGTCTTAGAATGCAAAAGCAAAGCAACAATTCAGTGTACCAGAATAGTATCAAATACTTAAAAGCCACAAACAACTAACCCATTCTTAAAATTCTCCAAAAAGGGTGGGTGGAGGCAACCACTACAAATCTGATTTTTACTCTCAAATTTATTCTACTGGTCATTAAGGTTCTCTTAATTTTCAGCTGAAATATTGTATCTGTTTAGCCCTCCAAAGATTTCAAGAATGATCTGATGTTCTGTCTCACTATTCTCTTTTCCACCTTTCTTCATAGAATATGTTTTGCATAATTATAGTCATCTTCATTGCCTTCTCTCCACTATTTCCAGGTATTTTTAAGATGAAGCATTAAGCATCTGAAAACTAGTATAATTAATTTTTGCTGCTGAAAACTAGTATAATTAATTTTTATAGCATAAGTTGCTTATAGATTTTACTTTTACTAGGTGTTCAGCTATGACCTAACATTCTATATTTTTGTGAATTCTTTTCTTACATGGACAATCATTCTTATCAACAGAATTCTGAATAATCTTAGACAAATATTTTCATGCTTTCTTCAACCTTTCATACTTCCTGCCAACAAATTTAAAAGTTTATTATTTTTACAGTTTAGAATTACAACAGTAGTAACGCTTACATGATACAAATTACAAAATACCTGACAATGGATTTCTGTCACACTAGAGAAGTAGTTAAAACAAGAACATACAAGTTATTCTCAATAATTGCTTGTGAATCTTCACTGTTTAAAAACAGGTTTGAATATTCCATAGGTTTTATCTCTGATCTCACTATTTACAACTTAATTTCCTTCTCATTGAAAAATGAATATATACTGTATAAATTATTCTAGGATAATATTTCATACATCTTATAAAATGAAAGTTACATATCCACAAAAGCATATGCCACTATGAAAATATCAATTCTGAAAGTTAACTTACTTTCTATGCTGAAACAAAGCAACCTCTCTAAAAATTATTTCCTAAAATATCCGGACACTATCCCTTTCCTTCTATGACTTAAGACATCTCCTAGATACAGTACCAACCTAACAAAGGAACAGCCAGATAACAAGACTCACATTATTAATATATATTTGAAGTACAGAATATGTTGTGATGCAAATTACTAGTGCAGTATTTTTGAAATCTGATGAAATAGGATTAACTGACTATATAACATACAGCAGAAAGAGAGCCCTGTATTTTTATTATATTAGCATTCTACCATTATTACAAACCAACGCTAAAGCCCCAAATTTAAACCAATTCATATCCAGCCCTATTTCTATCACAGTATTTTTCTCTCCCCTGCCTTTCCCCTAGAAGAAAACCAAAGGAACTTTTAAAATTACTTTATATTTATCCTCCCGTATGCCATTCACTTCCGCTTTACTAGTGAATCTAGGATCCTTTTATAATAAGTGGGTGTAAAGTTTAACCAATCCTTTATCAATGATTGATACAATATGCCTTATTACTGATTTATACAATTAGCAAAGAATGTTGAACATGGCACAACTAGGCCCACTCCATACTAAAATTAAGGAATCTCATTTTTCAATGTTTACATAGTTATTAGATGTTTTTTCTTGATGTGCTAATTTTTCAATTACAAAATATTTTCCAAGAACAGAATAGCAAGCAGTCAAAATACTAAATCCTATCTGCAATTTAAAGTGCTATAGTCCAAGATAATTGTACAACCAGGCGATGAATAAATCTCTATACCGGTTTAAGGAAAAATGGAATTAGTACACATTCTGGAGATTTGGGAGTTAGTGTATTTTGAAATAATCTCACCCTTTCTTTTGCAGAATGAAACTGCACACACTACAAATCTACTGCCCTATCATGCTTAAACGGTTTGTGTACTTTTTTCTCTCCTGATTTTTTTTCATTTTTTCCCTTACCTATGTAATTTCCTTAAGAAGTAACCTGATGCGTGGCTATTTCGGAGTAAATTGGTTTGTGCTGAATGAGAATTAACTTCACGAAGAAAATACATCATGCAAGTCTGTTCTAGTGAATTTCTCACAGTGAAAAAAAAAATGCCCATCTTCGATGACCGAGAATGCCTAAGTTAGCTCCTCTTTGTTTTCATCCGCTGCCAGGAGAGGCCACCTGTGGGACCTGCTGCCAAGAACAAACAACAAAGTCCCAACCCTACAAAATTCACTTCTTCGAATAGTACTTTGCCAATCAGCCAAAACGACCTCACAGGCTTCCTTTGCACAACCGTATGTGTTTCTGTGTTGGGGGGGTTAGGGAGAGTTGCCCCAAACTTACATGCTTGCTGCAAAAAAACCTAAGTCGGACTTCCTCCAGCCAGGCACCACCTCACAAAATCTACACTGGGGAGTAAGGAGGAAATGGAGCTGAAATTTATTTCTCCCCCCCCCCCCCGTCTTCACACAAATAGACCCCCGAACAGAAGAGACTTAACCTCAGCACACGAACGCCCCACCCTTCCCTTTCTTCCCGGGCGACTCTTTGTGACTCGCGTGCTCGTCGGTTCTCATCCCAGCCGCAGAATCGGCCACTCACCTTGGCTCCCGCGCTCCACGCTGCCACTCTCACTTTGTTGTGGTTGCCGGTCGTGGGCACCAGCGCAGCCCTGGCTTTTACTATTCTCATTGGCTGGTTCGTCTAAACGCTCCGTCTGCTGTAGCCCTTGGGCACTCGGGGCCTCGTTGCCGCCAGCGGGCGCCTCCACCGGCACTACCGTGAAGTTGGTCGGCATGGTAGCGCTCTTTCTACCGGAGCGCTAACCTGTGGCTAAGTCGCCTGGACAGATCCAGAGTCGCCTCACGCAACCACAACCCGCCGCCTGCCCCCTCCCGGGTAGTTGTGGCAGGAAGAGCAGCGAGGGCGGCTCTTTCTTCCCTTTTCTCCGCCTCTCCTCCCCGCCCCCAAGGGCGGCTGCCCGGGCAACAAACCTTGTTGGCCGCCCTCTTTTGCTATCAGCCAGGCAATAGACGTGCCTCGCACGAACGTTTCTCCAAAATTAAAAGGCGGGAAGAGAGGGAAGCGCCCTCTCTTCATATTGGTTACTGGCAACGTCTGTGCATCTTTTCCTTTATCTGTTTTGTTGGCCCCTACGCACTCTGAGAAACGCAGGAGTACTGACCTTAATATTCCTTCTGTGTGCCACTGGTTTCACATACAAACCTTAAAGCATTTGATTTGGGGGAGTTTCAAAATGTTTGTCCTGATTGTTACGATTTAACTCTCTAATATGCAAAGTAGTCAAAGTTATGCATCTAGGTTTCTGTCTATCTCCCACAAAATAGTAGTCACAGCTGGTCCATACATACCTGGTACAGAAGATAATGCTTGTATTCGTTAATAAATAGCTAATGGTCATGAATTTAAAAACAAAGTTCCCGAATTTTTGAATGGAGAGCATATAAACCATTTAATCTGGTACTTAATTTTATCTCTCATGGGGAGGAAATAAACTGAGGTTTTGTTTGCACCTTTAGGCCAAATCCACCTAACCATCCCTGATGCCAGACAGTGAAAAGCAGCTAATTTCTACTTGCTCACACACACTGCCTTTTAAGCAGGAAGTACACAGCATCTCTGGATCACTCTGCACTAAATCAAGGCGTTCCTGTTACATTTCCCTATAAGCATCACTGGTTGCATGTAAGGTCGGAAACCAATGCAATCATTTTTCAACTCGCTCCCCCCCCCAACTATGTAATTGAGTGCATGTCTTGTGGCAGATTGAGCTATCAATGAAAGCCTCTTGTCTTGGTTCCCAATCATGGATTGTGATGGTTGGTTGGTTGGTTGGTTACTCTGGCAGATCTATCAAGCCACAAGTAATGTCATTTCCACTTAGCATTACTCTACAGCCCTTTATGTTGTACTGCAACATTGCAACCTAACTCCTTGCTGCTCATGCTAAAAGCTATGTGAACCTTCATCTACCAGTAATCCAAGCCAATCCTTTAAATTCCCAGGAATGATTTCCATTGTGAGTAGAAATGTTCCATGCAAATGCCCAATGGCAAGTTTCAGGATATGCCTTAGTCATTGGGGCATTTGTCCTCACAATGGAAACATGGACAAGAGGCTAAATGGCAATGATGAGCAGATATAGCCCTTGATAATATGATCCTTGTGGCATGCTTCAATGCTGTGCCATTCATGCCACAACGTGAAGTGTCTTCAAAGGGACCATCTTGCTCAACTTCCCTAGCATCAGATGCTTGAGAGTCCTTAGCCTCCAGGTGTCTTGACTTTATGATAAAGACAGAGATAAATCCCAGTTGAGCAAGGTGATCCCTTTGAAGGCACTTCATGCTGTGGCATGCAGGGCACAGGATTGAAGGATGCCACAAAGATCACACTGTCAATGGCTATATCTGTTCAACGTTGCCATTTTCTTTACAGGGTGTTGTCCCACAGTTGTCACCACTGACAGAGAAGTGGACTGCTCAGCAGCCAGCAGATTTTTGTGGACGGCTCCTTTCCACTTCTGCTTTTGTCAGTAGATAGAAGCATGTAGGTCATTTTTCCACTTCTTACTAAGTTTTCTCCCTGCAAGCAGGTTCAGCTACAACACCAACAGGTAGTGCTATTCCCCATTACAGCTCACAGAAACATAAGCAAGCATGACATGAGCTAGTCACCAAGGCTCTGCTCTTATTTACAGGCTCTAGTGTGCAATTTGTGCACTAAGTCATACATCAAACATCACATTGGTCCAGAACTCAACCACAGGCACAACCTATGCAGTTGCAGTAGATTACTGTGCCATGTCACCTCAGGATCATAGGCAGTACCTGTGGTATTATTATCTGCATGTATTTACATGCTTAATATATCTGCAAAGCAATTTGGGAAGTCAACAGGAGACTGTAAGCCAGGGGTATCAAACTGCCGGCCCGTGGGCCAGATGCGTCATGACGAAACTGTGCCCACCCCATGGCCAGCAATGGAAAAAAAGTCACAATACGTCACGACACATCACATGACGTTGCGAGTTTGACACCCCTGCTGTAAGCCATAACTACACAGGTCATACCTGGTAAGATGCCTATAGTTCATCCACCTGCCATGTCCGTCAATGCTGCACAAAAAGGCTTGGTTTATAGTCACTCATGCATCCATAGAGTGATATATGTAAATATTATAAGCTCGCTTGCTTTCTACTTGGCTTTCCAGATAACTGCAGCCAAAGCAGACAAAACACAAAGCCTTGGTCAATAGCCAGGAAATAATCAGGAATGCCCTCAAATCATTTTCAACCAAACTTGAGGCACTTCAGGTTCTTTTGGAATACATGGAGACCCAATGAACTTAAAATAGTAGCAAAACAATATACATTTGTTCTATCTCACTGACACATCTACTTACCGTGTCCTTCTCAATTAGGCTGCCAGATCCTAACTAGAAAGAGGAAAGCTGCCAAGTATAGATCCAGGGTGATTCAAAGAGTTGATGGACTTCAGGACCCCTTTATCACCGAAAGGCCTTCTTTGATTGATTTATAAGCCTGGCAGCTTCAGTTTTCAACATAGGCCCTGCCTCCTTTGTCTGGCTTCAGGTGATATTTCTCCTTTAATTCTTATTTATTTGTTTCCTTCTTATCTATCTCCCCAAGGAAACTTTTTGATAATATTCCTGGCTTTTGTCTTCTCTGTTTTGTTTTTAGGTTATAGCAGCTTCAGCCTAGTTTCATCTTATGATGTGTGGGCTTGGAGACAATGACTTCCATGTATCCACAGTAAGTGAACCAAGATGGTTAGAGAGGATATAAGTGGCAACTCCATACAATAACGAATGAGGTGATAACAGTTTTCATAGAGTAATATGAAATCAAATCCAATGCATTGAAAGGAAACTGAAGGGTTAAAAGAAGAGCTGACAAACAGCCCAACTATTCAGCACATATAAACCCAACAAATGGGTTTATATGTGCTATGCAATGAAAACTTGTATATGAATGTGGTGTGTGAACCAAATGAAGCAACCATACTGTATAATTACCGAAGTACAACTATTACTTTAAGAGCTCAGAAAGGTTCTGACATACAGAAATGTGAGCAGGAGAAGAATAAGCAGTAAAAGCCATTAAGCCTGACCTTTAAACACAAGATAGCAACTTTTTCTAAAACTAGCTTGGCTGGTGAAATCTTTTGAAGTGCTCCATGCGAAGATGATGATACTAGCAAGTTCTTTCATTCCTTATTTGCACTATGGAATCTGTGTACACACTGTGTATCTGTGTTTGAAAGATACCAGTCCTGTTTATATATCATATGTGTCTTTGTTTAAAATAAATAAAATACCGCATAGAGTTCTTAACTTGGTGTTTATTACTGTCTAAATTATTATATTAAAATAATTTCAGTATAAAAAATATAAACTATTCATAAAGCCATAAAAAGTATCTTAAAAGCATAAATGGGTCTTGTTAATTAAGACATTAAATAAGGAACAAAACAAACTTTGCTGAGTCAAAGAGAAAATATCATACAATACTGGGAAAATTTACCCAGAGAAACTTTGATATAAATACATCACAAAAAAGATTTTATCTTTAGAGAAACAGATGGTGGGGAAAATGTTTTTTTTTTTTTTTGCAATGCAATATTTAATAGAAACAATCTGAGTAAATGCTACCATGCAATGTTTTAATTCTCTGCATTATTGGGGCATAAGAAGTGGATAGATAGATAGATAGATAGATAGATAGATAGATAGATAGATAGATAACATTTATTGTCATTTTTTACTGTGGGCACAATGGCACACATTAAAAATGAAATTTAGTTGCTTGCTCTCAAAGTGTACACATACATAACACACATTTAAACATTCTATATACAACATATGCATAGACCTACACCCTTACATATAAGTAACATATAAATTTAATCACTGTCCATTTTGAATACATAACGGAAGGAGGAAGAGTTAGAATTCACAAAGTTAATACTGTATGGAACAAAAAGTAAGGTGCTATCTATTGGAAGAAGCCTTGTTCAAAGCTCCATATGGTTTCATAGAAATTCATGTTGTCAAGGTTTTCTTCCCTGAAATTAGTTATGTATTTATTTTGAAATTTAGGATATAGCCTAACACTTCAGTATGCATATATAAGATCATATACAGCATATAATTGTGCTGAAGAGATTTTGAACATTCATTGTCATCCAAACTAGAACAAAATAAAATCTTCCCTAACTAATATACTCCTACTGAAATCAGGGTTTGCACTACCTTTTTACCCCATTGTGCTCTACAAACAATTGGTGGATTTAAACACACTATTTAATTGATGGCTTCTTCTTCTTCTTGTGCCATATCCGTTATCGGACATTGGCGATCATATTGGCGATCCTGTTTTTATCAGCAGCCGCATGAAAAAGTGCTGCTGAGTTTTATCCAAACCAATCCCTTAGATTTTGAAGCCATGATGTTCTTCTTCTGCCTGGACCTCATTTGCCTTCAATCTTTCCCTGGAGGATTAAATGGAGTATGCTGTATTTTTCTGGGTGTTGCATCACATGTCCGAAATATTCTAATTTTCATTTTTTGTTTTGATGATTTCCCTTGACTTTCCTAGGTGGCTTATCACCTCCTCATTTCTGATCTTGTTCAGCTTATACATAACAGCCGCCTGTAAATCCACATTTCAAATGCTTCTAGTCTCTTCAGGTGGCCTTCTGTCAGAGACCAACTCTCTACTCCATAGAGCAGGATAGAAAAAATATAGCATCTGACAAGCCTGATTTTCAGTCTTAGATATTGTATTTGGACATTTCTTGGATAGTGTTGTGTGTTTTCCCAGCTTTGTATAGGCTTCTCAGATTCCATGTACCAATTTGTAGTTTTGGGTTTATCATGCTTCTAGCGGACCGGGAGATTCTTAGCACCCCTGCCTCAT